CCCCCCCCCCCACACACACACACAAGAAATCCAGAAATTATAAAATTACTGAAATATAAAGGGGCTACTACCGTGTCGTATACGAGGCCAAAGATGCTGCTGGCAACAACGCTGTTTGCTCCTTCTCCGTTGTCATATCGCCGTCGGAATGTCAAGCACCAGAAGCCGATAAACAGGTACTCTTCAGTTGAACAGTGACCTGATCATATTTACATCATCTGCCCATTTACAGCTGGAAGGTAAGCTGACCGTCGAGCCAGTGAACGGAACTGATGCAATGATGTCTGCTCGTATTAGCTGCAGCGACACGTTCTTCCCTAGGAACGATCCAGAATTCTATGTTTGTGACGTTATGGTAAGTAAAATCGAGATGATTTTTGAGCAAAGGCTGTTTCGGGATGGCTATCATTACCGCATTCATTTCATCTGCAACAATCCTTGCATAACATAATGCGAGGGCCATGCCACCAAGGAGGACCGTAGGTTCGGTCATAGTCCAGCGTTCCTCTATGAAGTCCTTTCAGGGACAGTGGGACCGGTCGATGTTCGTGCCAGCGAATCACACCTATTCCTTCCCTTCCTGTGGCTCTACACAGAATCCCGTGCAGAATATCAATGGTTCTCTTGGTGATTACGGTAACTGCTCCACGGTCAGTCGTTTTCAAAAGCGACAAGCTACAGGTATCAAAATCCAAATTCTTTACAGATACTTCAAAACCTTCGCGATTGGCTGCTGAAAGATCTGTGGCCGTACTGCTCCGATTTGAACTGCACAGGCCAGGTACCTTAGTGACCATGTGCAGTTTTGGTTGTCTATAGTCCAGTAAATTGATGTTCAGTTATGGATCGATTCAAACTGCTCCTCCAGTGCCGATTTAAGACTGAGACGCAGTATACGAGAAGCATTCTACGATTTTCGATTTTACGCGAACGTCAAGTTAGTCCTCTACTCAGTTCCGCTTAATGACTCTTCATTCGATCAACATCAATCGAACTTACCTATTTCTGCGGAGAAGCGTTAGAAGCAGATACCGTACCGCACCAGCAGTGCACTGACTGCCGATCGTTATCGATTGATTTGGCAGCTTAGCCGTATTTTTGCAATTGGAACGCATCTGCGTTAACCGCAAGCAATGACTTTCAAAAATACATGCAACAAAACTGCAGCGGACGATGGTTAGCAGCCAGCGACAATGAGCTACACTGCACGACATAAAATGAATGGCATCGCCACGATCTATGGCTAATTTTTTTAGTAACACCCGAACGTTGCTCAAGGACACTATCGGCTTCACGCTACAAAAGCAATTCCCAAATGCGAGTCTATCGATTAGTGATACCGTTGTTTGCGACGAGAAATTCCCACGTCTCAGTACGGCTAATGGAAACGCCAGTTGCGGTATGTCATCAACCGAAAAATCTGTTCATGCGCGAGAATTCCTGAGTGTTTACTTGTTTACAGCCGACTGCCCAGCTGGTCAGTATTTCTATGATAATGCATGCATCAACTGTCCAGCAGACACCTTCAGAACAAGAGATGATCCGTTAGAGAAGTGTATTCCGTGTCCGAAAGATAAAACGACCGGTGAACAAACCGGTCAAAAAGATCCAGGCGCTTGTCATGGTATGTCGCTCTAAGCAAGAAAACCTGATCTGATATTACCGCTATAGTGGACAAAATCTATTTAAGAATTGTGTGACGCTGGAGAATTTTATGATGACGAGACAAAAAAGTGTCAACTGTGTCCTCTTGGAACCTATCAAGAGAAACCTGGAGGAGCAGCTTGCCTGCCATGTCCCTCCGACAGCACCACTAGTATCACGGTAGGTTTATCGCCATTTTCATTTAAGTGTGTAGTGGAAAGCCACCGATATAATGCCCACTCTGGAACCGCTACGATTAGTAGGGAAACCGGGTGGATATAAGCCTCTGAATCATCAAGAATATGGGTTTAACGGGCGGAATTGGTAATTTACTCCTTGCGACATTTGGCGACAGGCGGCAAAGGTGATGAGCGGAAGAAGATGGCAAAAAGTCATTAGGGAGAAGTCACAACTAATCGTAAAGCTATTAGACATAAAGGGTATCACAAGAGGCGAACTGACCAAAATAAGAAAAAACGCGTGGAAGGGGTAAGGAGTAAGGTAAGCTGAAATACGAGGCGAAAATGAGCGGTGCGCGACTACATATTCTACCATAATACAGGTGGCAGTTTAGTTCCAAATCTACTTACTACACACCTTACTCGCACATTCACTCACTCGCCTGTGAGGTGACCTCGCTTAATTGGTTGGCTGCTGACCCCTTTGGCAGTCTTAGATGAACCATTTGATACTGATTACGTGATTTTGAAACATTATCATTACTATTACCATTAATATCACTATTACTATCACCATTTACTATCACTTGTTACCATTTTACTATCACTTGTTACCACTTATTATCACTTGTTATCATTAGTTATCATTTATTATCACTTGATGTCACTTAATATCATTTATTATCACTTGTTGTAATTTATTGTCACTTGTTATCATTTAGTATCATTATTATCACTTATTATCATTAGTTATCATTTATTATCACTTGTTGTCATCTATTATTATTTATTATCACTTGCTATCACTTGTTATCATTGGTTATCATTTATTATCACTTGTTATCATCTATTATCATTTCTTATTACTTGTTATCACTTATTATCATTAGTTATCATTTATTATCACTTGTTATCATCTATTATCACTTGCTATAATTTATCATCACTTGTTATGATTTAATATTATTTATTATCACTCGTTATCATCTATTATCATTTGCTATCACTTGCTATCACTTATTATCATTTATTATCACTTCTTATCATTTAATATTATTTATTATCACTTGTTATCACTTATTATCATTAGTTATCATTTATTATCACTTGTTATCACCTATTATCATTAGTTATCATTTATTATCACTTGTTATCATTAGTTATCGTTATTATCACTTGTTATCATCTACTATCATTTATTATCACTTGCTATCACTTATTATCATTAGTTATCATTTATTATCACTTGTTATCATTTAATATTATTTATTATCGCTTGTTATCATCTATTATCATTTATTATCACTTGATATCATTGGTTATCATTTATTATCACTTGTTATCATCTATTATCATTTATCGCTTGTTATCATTTATTATCATTAGTTATCACTTATTATCATTAGTTATCATTTATTATCACTTGTTATCATTAGTTATCACTTGTTATTAGTTATCATTTATTATCACTTGTTATCATTTATTATCACTTGCTATCATTTATTATCACTTATTATCATTAGTTATCATTTATTATCACTTGTTATCATTTGTTATCACTTGTTATCGTTCATTACCCTTTATTATCATTAATTATCATTTATCATCACTTGTTATCACTTATTATCATTGATTTTTACTTGTTATCATACATCGTAACTTGTTATCATTATTATTATTATTATTATTATTATTATGAGCATTGATAGAGAATGTTATGAGCCGGATTCCAACAAATATGCCTAGTAGCCGACCAACGTGGACCGTTGGGAATGAAATTTGGCCAGTTGCACCTTTTTCTTTGGATTCGTCAAAGCCCTTTATAGGAAATGGTTAAGAAAATGTTTTCAAGTCTAAAGCTACAGAGAAGATGATAGATAATTCTGAACTTCTACACTGTCTTGTCGCGCGTAAGAAGATCTGGAACTAAATACTGCTTTCCCAGTGACAGGGACGGAGTGATAGTGAACGACAAGAGACGGAGATTAAATCAGCATATCTGGGACAAAAAGTGACGCAAGACCATAGTGTGAACAATGGTAAGCGACAAAGAGCGACAATCAGCTACAGTGGTGTACATACCTCATAGTAAAGTAAATTGTGGAGATCGAAAAACTGTTGACAAATTTATCAGAAGACGCCGTAGCAAATGTTTAGCGAAAAAACGCTGTAAAAGCAACCTTCGGTTTCATTCAGTAAAATGCCAATACCAGTATTTTGCGAGTAACCTCACAGGCCATGCGGGGCACGGGGAAGACTACCGTCACTGCCAGGCGAAATACGGATTGAAAGGTGACCAGATCCATTGGATCGGGCTAGAAGAACCATTGGTGAGGTAATGGCGTGAGCGGCATAAGGTGAAATTGGTAACCGCGTGTCGCAAATAGCTCTAAATGACTGTTCATTTTATAGCAGGTATGTGACTGAGCCTGACCACAATCTCGGTTCGAAATTAGAACAACAATCTGATCTTGATTTTAGAACATAATCTCACTAAAAAATTTGAGTGTGGCAGTATTATTCATAAATAGAGTCTAATATCTTAGACAAAGTCCTTCAGCGCTAATAAGGATGCGCCGTGCTTTCCACTGTCATTGGGAATCGTAGTGGCATATGTATTAGTATGTAACCTATACTAATTGCGGTAGCCAGCCGATAAGAGTCGTCTTTTTAACCATTCGAAGGCGTTTGGCAACAATGAGCAGAACTCGCGGGGACGACAGGGTTTGTTGATGTGGGTGGGTACCGCAAGGATTCAATCCGTGGGCCATGCGTTGATGGCGCGTCACAACATACTATCCGATCTCCGCCCTTATTCATGCTCAAGCATGAGGGATTGGAAACAAATGAGTTGTGTTGAAGCTGCACACATTGTTGATATATTAAGGGAGCAAAAAATGCTACCGACTGCTCTGTCAAATGTGATGCCGGTGAAGAATTGGTGGCTGATTCAACAAACTGTGTACCGTGTGCCAGAGGGACATATTGGGTGAGTTTAGACGCTTCCATTCTCCCTATGTTCCTTACTGCTGACAAAACTATTTGAAAATCCAGGTGACAACGTCCATGTTCACCGGATGCATAGATTGTCCCCAAGGTCTAACTACTGTGAACACTGCATCGAAGGACATACGGTAAGGCTACTCACACTAGAACTACTTCTAAGAAATTGTAGACATCACAGACACCCTTAATTCATGGTAATATCCCACTGCTATCTAATTTTAGCGATTGCGAAGTGGTCGATTGTCCGCCTGGAACACATGTGAACCTACATCGACGTGGTCCGATCGATGCCATTCGAACAGCATTTGATGCACTGTGTACAAGATGCGAAATGGGGACATATCAGGTAGCTTGACATCCAA